CTGGATCTTGAAATTTGGAGCCTCTGGAGCACTGGGATTAGGGCTCTGCACCACTACAATCAGCTGTTTTTAAAGTTTGGTTAGTTCCCTGCCACCACCCCGTACTGGGGCTTGACTTAGGGCTTACACCTTGAGCCACTCCAACAGCCCTTTTTTGTGATGGGCTTCAAGGTAGGATCTCTCAAACTGTTTGCCCAGGTTGGCTTTGAACCTCAGTCCTCCTGATCTCTGCGTCCAGAGGAGCTAGTATTATAGGCGTGAGCCACCGGTACCCGGCCTGATTTATTTTTTTATTTTTTTGTCGGTTCAGTGACTCAGGCTTACTGTTTTTAGGTAGGTGCTTTACCACTTGAGCCACTCTGCCAGCTGTTTTAAAGTTCTTACTATTACGGTATGTGTATGTACTTTCTGGGGAAAGATTAATAAATAATAACAGAACTTACCTTTGGGAAAAGAATTGAGTGAAGAATATATTTGATGGTAGGAATGGAGTCAGTCATCTTTTTCACTCATGTTATCTTTCAGAATTGGAAATGTACAACTAAAGGACTAGCATTGAAAGAACACATGCAGGAGCGGGGATGAGGGAGAATGATATAGGGTGAATCTAGTCAAGATACATTTTAAGCCTATATGGAAATGTCACAACCAACCCCCCTGTACAACTAATAATATATGTTAATACAAATGTAAGAAGCACCAGTGGGCTGGGGAGATGACTCAAGTGGTAGGCACTGAGTTTCACCCTCAGTACTGCCAAAATAAAAAACCACACTAGGACTGGAGTTGGTAGAGCTCTTGCTTTGCAAGCACAAAGCCCTGAATTCAGACCCCAGCGTGTGTCTGTCTGTCTCTCGCGCTCTCTCTCCCTCTCTCTCTCTCTCTCTCTCTCTCTCTCACACACACACACACACACACAGAATACATGGTGGACAAGAGCTAGGGATGTAGCCCTGTGGTAGTGCTTGCTTAGCTTATATGCTTCCCTAGCACCACCAAAAAAAGTGCATTTATATATATTATGCAATATATATATATATATGTACATATATATCATACAAACTGAAGCATGTTTGAGTGTAAGACAGAAGTATTTCTGCATATATATATATATCACACAAATTTACTATCAACATTCATCCCAATTCCAGTTGAATATTGACCTTATAATCTGTGCTAAACTTCATTTTTTTCTATTTTTAAATAAAAATGTAAGTGGTGTATCCAGTATTTCTTAATACTGTGGTCTTCTGAAAGATAGGATTTAATGGGTATAAGTCCAGATAGAATAAAAGTTGGGAAAATAATAAGGCTGTCATAAAGAATAAGGTATCTTTGAACATAGCTTATTGGTTGATTCAGATGCAGATGCAGTAAAGTTCCATTCAGTTCCAAAACAGGATCAAAGCCTGCTATTTATAGTGTTTGAAGAAAATCTAAAATGTAATTTGTTTAAAGATGTGCAGATAAGTGTTTGGTAACCTGACATAAAGGATTGAGTAATTTTCTTTAAAGGAACTCATTACTATTTAGTCAAAATTTGTTATCAAAATAGTTTTATTTCACCCAGATTTAATAAGTAAAAATATCAGATATCTCTTGTCTGCTTTCTGACTTGTATGCTTTTACAATGCTTCGGTTTCTAACCCAAGTCATGGTTTCTTTCTCCTGACACCCTAGCACACACCTCTCAGTCTGTCTGTCTTTCATATACATATAACAACTAGGCCAGACAGTTCCAGTAATTTTTAGTTGAGAATCACTTAGCAAAATTTTGATCACCATGATGATATTAGTGTTTAGTATTGAGAGAAAATAACACGTATGCTGGATGTGGGATAGGACCCTTCATATTACATGAACAGATACCCTAGTAAGTGTAAGTCCATAAAATTAAGGGGCTAGGCAACACACACAGAACAGGTCTCTCCTCTGAACCTTACTCTAAGAGGGGGGAAAAAATTCTAGTAGGAAATTTAAAATATTTTTGGTGGCTCTGGGGTTTGAACTCAGGGCCTCATACTTGCTAGGCAAGTGCTTTTACACCTTGAGCCACTCCACCAGCCTGAGATTTTAGTTTTGATATTAGTTGATAACTTTGGGATAGTATACCTCAACAGGTTTTTTGGACTGGAGTTTGAACCCAGCTTCAGGCTCACAAAGCAGTTGCTCTACTACTTGAGCCACACCTCCCATCTTTTTGTGTGTGTGTGGTACTGGGGTTTGAAATCAGGGCCTACACCTTGAGCCACTTCACCAGCCCTTTTTTGTGTTGTGTGTTTTTGAGATAGGGTCTCAGGAACTGTACCTGGGTTGGCTTTGAACCACAATCTTTCTGATCTCTGCCTCTTGAGTAGCTAGGATTACAGGCCACTGGTGCTTGGCCTCTTGTCCATTTTGCTCTGGTTATTTTGGAGATGGGGCCTCATGAACTATTTGCCCAGGCTGACCTTGAATCTTGATCTCCCAAATCTCAGCCTCCCAAGTAGCTAGGATTATAGGCGTCAGCCACAGCGCCCAGCTCTCCAGGCTTTGTAAACTCTGCCCTCATATTAGGTATACTGTTTCCTTTCTTTGGTACAAGTTGCACTACTGCTTGAATTTGTGTACAAGTGACTCTTAAAGTTCTTTAGTACTTTTTTTTTTCAGTGCTATAAACTACAAAGGGTCAGGCACAGTGACTCACACCTGTAATCCTAGCTATTTGGTGGAATTTGGGAGGATTATAGTCTGAGGCCAGCCTAGGAAAAAAGTCCTAGAAACCCAATCTCAACCAATAAAAAGCTGGGCATAGTAGCAGGTGCTTGTCATCCCAGCTACACAGGAAGTGGAAGTTGGAGTATCACAGTCCAGGCCAGCCCAGGCATAAAATAGAGACTCTATCTCAAAAATAACTAAAGCAAAAAGATGTGGGGGGCATGGCTCAAGTGGTAGAACACCTGCCTGGCCAAAAAAAAAAGAGAGGGAAAATAGGTAAATAAACTAGGAAATATACAAAAAAATGTATTAATGAGGAAGGATGAGTGAATCCAATACTTAGCCCTGACCCATGCTCTTCAGAAAGGTAGGGTCCAGGGAAGTAGAATACAATTGACCTTTTTTTTTTTTTTTTTTTTTCACCTTGGTGAGACCAGGGTTTGAACTAAAGGCTTTGTGCTAAAGCAAGTACTCTACTGCTGGAGCCACACCTCCAGTCCACTTTCGTTCTAGTTATTTTGGAGATAGGATTTCACAAACTATTAACCCTGGCTGTCCTAGAACTTCAGTTTTCCAGATCTCAGACTCCCAAGTAGCTAGGATTACAGGCGTGAGCCATCAGTGTCTGGCTGATACATAAATCTATTTTTAGTAATTTCAAACTTAATGACTTGGTAGAATATTAGTGAATCCTTCATACTTTAATTTTTAATTTTTTTTTTTTTTTGGTGGTACTGGGGATGGAGCACCACTGCCTTAAAGCATTCTACCACTGAGCTACATCCCCAGCCCCATCTTTAATTTATTTTTTTTTTTTTGGCAGTACTGGAGCTTGAACTCAGGGCCTTCGCCTTGAGCCACTCCACCAGCCCTATTTTTGTGAAGTGTTTTTCAAGATAGGGTCTGGCGAATTATTTGCCCCAGGCTGGCTTCTCCTGAGCAGCTAGGATTACAGGTAGCGTGAGCCACCAGTGCCTGGCCCTATCTTTAATTTTTAGATGTAATCAACTAGCTTATGCTATTGCATAGATTGAAGAAACCAAGACCTACTATATTTGACACTACTTTTAGTTACATAAAAAGAGATTTGATGCCTGAAACACTGTATATTAGGGAGATCCAGACATAGCAGAACTCAGCTAGATCTAGAGAAAAAAACACAGTGGGAACTTCCAGAAAGATCCAGAGGCTGGGGCTGAGGAATTCAGAGGTTACTAAAAGTTTGTTTTTACTTTCTATCTCTGGACTTAACTAACATCAGTTATAAAAAACATTTGCTTTAAACCCCAATAAGATCAAAAAAAAAAAAAGAGTTTGCTTTTTATCACTTCATGATGACTAAATATTTCAGAGCAGACTTGGTGGGGAGGGTACTGGGGTTTGAACCCAGGGCTTTGTGCTTGCAAAGCAGGCACTCTTATCAATTGAACCACACCTCTAGTCCAGTCAATTTTGCTGTGGTTATTTTGGAAATGGGGTCTTGATAAAAATTTTCCCCAGCTGGCTTTGAACCACAGTGCACTGGATCTTAACTTCCCGGGTATCTAGGATTGTAGGTACGAGCTATAAGTTCCTGCTTTTTGCTTGGTTTTTTTGTTTTGTTTCATGCTTGCTAGGCAGGTCCTCTACCACTTGAGCCATTCCACCAGCCCTTTTTGGTGTTGGGTATTTTCAAGATTGGGTCTTGCGAACTATTTGCCGGCGATAGCTTCAGACCTCAATCCTCCTGATCTCTACCTCTTGAGTAGTTAGGATTACTGATATGAGCTACCAGCACTGGCTCATGCTTGGTTTTTAAAGCAGGGGATGTCAAATGTAAAATAAAATGGATGGTTTGAAGATTCCACGTAAGCAATTGACTACCTTCATTTACTATTATCCGAAAACATGTTGGCCTCAGTTTTTTTTTTTTTTTTTGGCAGGGGGTGAAAGGGAAGAGGGTACTGGGGATTGAGCCCAGAGCCTTGTGTATGCTAGGCAAGCACCCTTCTGGATCCCCAGCCTTCTCCTCAGCTATTACTTAAACATTAAAAGCATTTGGGAAAAAAATAGGAAACTTTTCAATTACTTAACTTATGTGCATCTAAAACCTTACCATAGGTAAGGTTTACACACCCTGTAAACCCTTACCATGATGCTGCTGAAAGAATGGATTAGTGGAGTGGCTCAAGTGGTAGCATGCCTGCCTAGCAAGCACAAGGGTCTGAGCTCAAAGCCCAGTACCACCCAAAAAAAAAAACTAAATTGTTAATTTAATTAATTTAACTGATTGACTAAATTAACTGTATTGTTCTACTTTTAAGGTTAAAAACGACAACTAACGCCAACCATGAAAGATCCAAGTCGCAGCAGTACTAGCCCAAGCATCATCAATGAAGATGTGATTATTAATGGTCATTCTCATGAAGATGACAATCCATTCGCAGAGTACATGTGGATGGAAAATGAAGAGGAATTCAACAGACAAGTTAGTTTTTTGTACAGACCTGTTCTTTTTATAGCTCACTATAGCCCTCAAATAATGAGATTATCCTTGGCTCTGACGTGTGTTTATCTAGTCGTTTACAGGTTGAAGTGTGTAGGTTTATGTGCCACCACTCCTATTTTACTTGGCTGCTGATTACCACCAGGCTTACCTGCTCATTAAAATTACTCGGGCATCTTGTTTCAGAGTCCCACCCTGGAGATTCTGATTCAGGAAAACTAGGGTGGAGCCTGGGAAACTAAAAAGCTCCCAGGTGGTTCTGGCAAGTAAGTTTGGAAACCACTGCCTTGTACAAATCAGATTGCAGTGCAAGTCAGAAATCTGGAGCAGACAAAGATATTAGGGTATAAAACTATGCTATATTTTTTGTTTGTTTTTTGTAGTACTGGGGGTTGAACTCAGGACCTTCACCTTGAGCCACTCCACCAGCCCTTTTTTGTGCTAGGTTGTTTTTCTTTTTTTTTTTTTTGAGATAGAGTCTCATGGAACTATTTGCCTAGGCTGCCTTCAAACTGAGGTCCTCCTGATCAGCTAGGATTATAGGTGTTGGGCACAAGTGCCTGGCTACTATTTTTAACCTGAGAACTTCAGTCTAATCAGCCTGAAAAATTTGGAACCATTCTTCTCTGTAGAGAATGCTCATACACATATAAATGTTGTCTTTTCCATATTTCTGGCATCTGTTCTCATCTTAACTCCCCACTGATATGGTCTTTGGTAATCAGTAACCTGCTTGACTTCTCTGTATCCAGTGACGGACATTCCAGAGTAAAAACAGTCAGTCTTCACTTCGTGAGAATCAGTTGTGGTGTCGTGTTTTTGTTTTATTTAGTTTTTTATGGTGTTGAGGATTGAGCCCAGGTCCTCTTGCATGCTAGGATCACTTGGGAGGGGTTTTTTTGTTTTGTTTTGTTTTTGTTTTTTTTTGTGGGACTAGAGTTTGAATTCAGGGCCTACACCTTGAGCCATTCCACCATCCCGTTTTTGGGATGAGTTTTTTCAAGATAGGGTCTCACGAACTATTTGCCCAGGCTGGCTTTGAATTGTGATCCTCCTGATCTCTGTCTCCTAAGTAGCTAGGATTATAGGCTTAAGCTACCAATGCCTGGCAGGAGTATTTTTGCTATTTTTACTTAACAATTCCCTGATCCTACCCCACATAAGATTTTGTTTCAGTCATTTTGGGGTTGGATGAGGGTTTATATAGTGTTAAAAGTTTCCTTTGTTACTTCCTTTGTATTTTCCTTTGTTATTCCTTGCCGCCCTCAATGGGAAAATGTATTCTAAGAGAAGTAAAGACTAGAAAAATCCTAAGAGATCATCTTAGATCTTTTTGGAAAGCATTTTTTCCCCCCTTAGCATGGAAGTAAAGGAGAAAGTCTGACACTATTTTTGATTGTATGTTTTTATTTCTGATACTGGGGATCAAACCCATGCATTCTACCACTGAGCTATATCCCTAGCCCAGACAGTACTGGGGTTTGAATTCAGGGCCTTGAGCTTTATTTTTATTTCCTGAGACTGGCATCGGTGGTATGACTCAAGCAGTAGAGCATCTGCTTTGTGGTACTAGGGTTTGAATCTACACCTTGAGCCACTCCACCAGCCCTTTATTGTGATGGTTTTTCCAAGGTAGGGTCTCTCAAACTATTCAAACTGTGATCCTCCTGATCTCTGTCTCCTCAGTAGCTAGGAATACAGGCATGTAGCACCCAGCTGAGCATCTGTTTTGAAAGCACAAAGCCCGTGAGTTCAAACCCCAGTCCTACCTAACGAAGGGAAAAAAAAAAAAAAGACAGGCTCTTGTTACAGAGCCCAGACTGAACCTCAACCTGTCCATTTTCCAGTCTCCACCTCCTGAGGAGTATGGAGGTTATAGTCATGTTCCACCTGAACATGAACTCCAGGGCCTCACAGTTGCTACTCAGGTGTTCTATGACTTGAGCCATGCTCCCAGCCCTTTTTTGCTATAGTTATTTTTCATGTAGAATTCTCATTTTTGTTCAGGGCTGACCTCAAACTGAGTCCTCCTGTCTATACCATCTCTTCTAGGTGATATCATAGATGAGTGCCACCACATCAGGCTTTATGATTGAGATAGGGTCTCACTAACTTTCTGCCTCAGATTAGCCTCAAACCACTATCCTATCTCTACCTCACAAGTTCCTGTGATTACAGAAGTGAGGCACAGCACTTGACCTGCTTTTGTGTTTTTAAGATAGGGTTTTACTATATAGAGTTCAGGTTGACTCAAACTCACCTTTTTCCTACTTCAACCTCCCAAATGCTAGGGTTACAGGCATGTACTACCACACCAGGCCAAACATTATGGCTTTAAATGGCTTATGTGAAGACATTTTAAGCCATTCCTAATGATGTCTTATCCTCTATTTGTTGAAAATCTAGATAGAAGAGGAGTTGTGGGAAGAAGAATTTATTGAACGTTGTTTCCAAGAAATGCTGGAAGAAGAAGAAGAACATGAGTGGTTTATTCCAGCTCGAGATCTCCCACAAACAATGGACCAAATCCAAGACCAATTTAATGACCTTGTTATCAGTGATGGCTCTTCTCTGGAAGATCTTGTGGTAAAAAGTTATTTTTCATCTTTTTTAGACACTAGCTCATCTTTCCCATAAGTGGAAAGACCAGCTACCATCTGTTTAAGAAGAGTTCCACGTCTCTTCCCCTTCCAAAATTGTACCGCTTCTTAAGAGTGGGGGCAGAGGCGTCCAGTGTCACTTAAACAAGGGGTAACTTCTGGCAACACCATGGAGTCTTAGACCACAAACAGACTCCTTGCTACAGTTAGTCTTAGAGGTTGCCTTTTTATCGTTGAAGTTGTGGTAGGATACTTACATGTCTTAATTAATTCACATATAGTGTTACCATGTGACTTGCCTGTTCAAAACTAGCATGATGGATTTTGCTCTTTAATCTCAATCTGAACATTTGGTGAAACTTAAAAATTTGAAAAATTTCATCTCAAAGGTAAAAAAAACTCATAGAGCTCTTTTGACCCAGGTTTTCATTCAAGTACCCAGTTCATTTGGAGCTGTGATATAATAAGGAATTTTACAAGCTCTTAGCAGAAGAGACACAAACCTGCAGTCACATTTTGTTACTTTCAATGTTCCCTCCCTGAGAATTATGGTAAACATAAGCACTAAAGCATATCCTTAAGAGTCCTTCACTAAAATTAGGATTAAAGAACTATTTTAATGTCAAACAAAATGTTCTGTAGGCCTGAATGTTTATAATTTGTAGTTGATTCTTCAAGATAAGTTATATGGAATTTTCTCACTGCACTCTTAAGTGTTTTTTGCAATTGTCTTCTGTTCACTGCAGTAGTTAACTAATCTGTACATGATAATTACCTATGAAGCATCAGAAACAAAAATCAGTCCCTCAGCTGTATCCCTCACTTGGAAAATCAATTTTCTTAGGTGTGTTAATTTTTAAAAAGCACTCCAGAGGCTGGGCACTGGTGGCTTATTCCTGTAATACTAACTATTCAGGTGGCAGAGATCAGGAGGATCAAGGTTCGAAGCCAGCCCAGGCAAATAGTTCAAGAGACCCTATCTGGAAAAACCCAATATAAAAAACAGGGCTGGCGGAGTGGCACAAGTGGTAGAGCACCTACCTAGCACTGTAGAGGATTATTATATAGCCATCCTTCCCACCTGACATTTGGAAACCATTCTTCTTAAACTACTGTATGGAGAACACTGAAATTTTCCTTGTGGTATAGTCTTTGTTGCAGTAAATGTCAGTAATCCAGTTGAGTCTGTTGAGACATGCTTGCTTATGGCTATATTAGTCATGTCACAAGTAATCCTGATTTCCCTCATGAACAAAGCCCTTTGCTAGGCTTGATGTATAACTTTAACCTGGACTCAGTATAAATCTATAAATAACAGAAGTTGAAGCTAGTTGGTTTCACTCAATGTGAGATTACATTAATTCATTCCTAACACTTTTAATAGTTGCCAAAAGATTCTACATTCAAGAATGCTGCTTTTTTATTTAAACCATATACTTTCTCCTGCTCTTCTTCATCCTTGTGTGTGTGTGTGTGTGTGTGTGTGTGTGTGTGTGTGTGTGTGTGTGTGTTGCTAGAGATCAAGAAGCTCAGGACCTCAAGCATGCTAAGCTGGCACTCCACACAATTATCATCTCTAAACTGTACATTTAAAGTGTAGATACATTTCCCCCAGGGGAAGAGACATTGTACTCTTCCCAAGAAAAATTGTGTGTGAATTATGAAACTAAAATTACTGTTCCAGTATGTTGTTTTAATATTATGTTTTGGTCTTAAAGTAAGTAACAATGGGATCAAATTCAGTGTAAAAGACTGTCAAAATACCTCCACTTAGGTCTTGAAATCTGTCCTGGTTTCTTTTTTTATCAACTTACAACCCAAAATGTGATAGAAGAGCATTTCTAGCTATTCTTTCTATACACTTAACATGTCTGCATAGGAAAGTAAAGATTTAGAAACCTAGAATAATGTTAGTACAAGTCTCTGTAATTCTTACCAACTTTGGCCCCTTCCTCCCTTTTTTTTAAGCTGATGGAAAAATGGAGTCCCAGAGTCTGGTTTATCCAAGCTTATATAGGAAGTTAGATTGGGGCAGAGCTAGGATTTCAATTTTAGGTCTTCTGGCTCCTGATGTAGTTTTCTTTTCCTGTTACATACCGTGCCTCCTGTAGGAATTAGAAGACAGCAATTATAGAAAGACAACTCTTAAGTTTTCAGTGAGGATCATAAAATAAAATTAATTCATCAACAATGCCCCCATTATTTTAGACATAATTTCAACCCTTACTTAACATGTTTCCATGGTATGAAAGTGTTTTACAAAAGTCAGGTATCACAATTAAATTAACAGAATTCCTTATTCAGTACTATTCTATTATTTTATGTGGAGTTAGTGAATTTCTGGTTATGCTTAAACTTAGTTTCAGTTCCTCCTTTCTCTTAGAAGGTTGATACAATTTTCTTTCTCTGCATAGCCTTACAGTCCAGGTTCTTTTATTTTGTATTTTTCTGGAAGATATTTTTTGCATGTGGATCTAGGCTGAATGCTTCTGAGTATATGAAGCCATCTGTAATGAACTTGCTTCTTTTTTTTTCTTTTTCTTTTTTTTTTTATGTACTTATTTTCCAGGTCAAGAGCAATCTGAATCCAAATGCAAAGGAGTTTGTTCCTGGGGTGAAGTACTAAAATATTTGAGTAGACGGGGCCCTCTTTTGGTGGATGTAGCACAATTTCCACACTGTGAAGGCAGTATTAGAAGACTTAATTGTAAAAGCTCTCTCTTGTCACTGTGTTACACTTATGCATTGCCAAAGTTTTTGTTAGTCTTGCATGCTTAATAAAAGTGCTGAGACTGTTATTAAGTAAAAAGCTGTCAAACATTTCCTGAAAATAGAATTGACTTAATGTAAAGACAGTGAGGAAAGAAGCACCAGTCAAGTTGTGACAAAGAACCAAGTTAAAAACCTCTAACTCCTACTAAATTTTCTTCTTCGAGGCCAAAGTGGTCCTGTAAGATTAACAGTTTTTAATGTGTATACTTTGTAGAAATGAGTAACATTAAATTACATTCTAATTGTTAAATCTCCTTTTTTCTGAAGGTCTATTAATTTGAAATAATTCACTATAAACAAAGTGTGTCTTTGGTGATTGATAAAAGCTAGTCTGGCTTTCTTGGTATGTTATAATGTTAGACATACTGAATTCTCCTGGCGTTATGTCTGAGGATATATGATTTGAGAATTTCATCCTTTGAGGGGATTAACTGTATCATAGCCATAACTGTGTGAAGTGAAGTCTAACTTAGGACCAACACCAGTCCATAATCCAATTGAACAAAGACTGTAACATGATTTGAGTGGTGCTTTTCCTTGCTTTATTAACCATCATGACAAAAGTCTGCAGCACAACTTTTCTTTTAACAAAGCTAGAACAGTTTTGGCTTCTTAAACTTCATATTTGGGTAGGTTAAGCTGCCATACGTGTTCAGTGTGAATAGTGTTTAAGTTGAAAATATTGTAAAAAAATTATATTTTTTCAAAAATATTTAAAAAAATAAATAATAGTAGAACTGAGCTGATGCTTGTGTTTATTGGTGCTGGACTGCAGACTTCTCCAGTGGTGATACTCATTTTAGTGTGGGCCCAGTACTTCAGGACAACCCTGCTGGCAAAATGTGCTGAGAGAGCAGGATTCATTAGAACACACAGTAGCAAGTATGTTGCTGTGCACGTGTCTATCCACAATACAGCACTAAAATAAACTCTGTAGCCCTGCCTTTACTTTTTTTTTTTTTGGCTTGAGACTGCAGTATCGGGGCGATCATAGATAGCTGTGTTAAAAAACTCTGGTTGGGCTTGGGAGTATGGCTCAGTGGCAGAGAATTTGACCTAGCATGTGCAAGGCCCTGAACTTTTCTTGAGCTTTTTTTGTTTTGTTTTTTTAGGCGGTACTGGAGTTTGAACTCAGGGTTTAATGCTGGCTAGGCAGGCACTATACCAATTGAGCCGCTCTGCCAGCCCTTTTATATTCAGTATTTTCAAAATAGGCTCTCACAAACAGTTTGCCAGGGCTGGCTTTGAACCTCCATTTTCCTGGTCTCTACTGCCTGAGTAGCTAGGATTACAGGTGTGAGCCACCAGCACTTGGCTTTTCTTGAGCTTTTTGAGCTGAAGATTAAGAATACTACACAGTAATTTCTAGCTCACACTCTTCATGGAAGGCATGATGGGGTGGAGTTTTTTTGTTTTGTGTTGTGTTGTGTTTTGGGTTTTTTGGCAGTGCTGGAGCCAAAATACATGGGTAGGCAGCTGCTCTGCCACTGAGCTACACATCCAACCCCAATGGGATCTTTTTTTTTTTTTTAAATAGCTACCTCAACACTAATAAATAGGCAGGTTTTTAAAGAAACTCTGGAACAGTCATGCTTTACGTCTGTTCTTTTTGGAACCATAATATAATCACTTCCCTCTGTTTAGTGCTACAAAGGACAAAGCCAGCTCCCAGTATGTGAGGCATACAGGTCCTTTCTCTCTGAACTCAGGGGAAAATGAATTCATTTCCTCATACTGCCAAATTGTGACACTGTAGTGTAATCGGCGCCAATTAGGGAACTAGGCACTATGATCTAATGATTAAAAGCAAAGATTCTGGGCTGGGTGTGTGGCTCAAGTAGTAGAGTGCCTATCTAGCAAGTACAAGGCCCTGAGTTCAAATTTCAGCACCACCAAAAAAAAAAAGCAAAGATTCTAGCCACACTTCCCAGATGAGCATCCAGTGATCATGGGCAAGTTACTTAACCTTTCTGTGTCTTAGTTTTGTCTCTTAAAATGCTGATGTGAGGGCTAGTGAAGTGGCTAAAGTGATAAGAGTGCCTGCCTAGCAAGCATGAGGCCCTGAGTTCAAACCCCACTGCCAGCAAAAAAAAAAAAAAAAAAGCTGAAAGGACACTCAGAAAGTTTTGGATTTTGGAGCATTTTGTTTGGTGCTGGGTATTGAACTCAGGGCCTCATACATGCTAGATAAGTGCTCTAGCATTGAGTTAACAGCCCAGGCTTGAATTTTGGAGCTTTTTTTTTTTTTAACTTTTAGATTAGGGATGGTGAACCAGAAAAACCTATGTAAATATTCCAGAACTCAAAAAACTCCAAAGTCTGGAACACTTCTGATACCAAGCATTTTGGGTAAGGAATTTTCAATCTGTCATAACAATGATTGCTATTATTATACTATTAAAGGATGGGCTGGCCAGGTGACAGTGGCTCACACCTGTAATCCTAGGTACTCCGAGACAGAGATCAGGAGGATTGCGGCTCAAAGCCAGCCTGGGTAAATAGTTCGAGAAACCCTTTTCCTAGATGAGAGAAAGGGCTGGCATGAAGCCTTGAGTTCAGACACTAGAACTACAAAAAAAAAAAAGTGGGCTGGAGGCATGGCTTAAGCAGTAGAGCATCTGCCTAGCAATGGAACATGCCTGCATTCCCAGCACTTGGATGCAGTCTGGGTGGCAGAGACCCTGTCTCAAACAAAACAAAAGTCTAGGCTCAGCTCTCTTGGAACTTTTCTTGTCTGAAGAAACATGCACATTTAAATCACTTTAGAAAGGTAGGCCTCTGCATTCCAGGTGGAGATGGAAAGTTTAAGAGCATCAGCTGCCCACGTATTTTGAAGCCCTATAGACATACAATCATCTCATCAGAGCTTGTACTGGTATAGTTTTAGGGTAACTGAATTCATTTCAGAGGGTTTTAATTTTATGATCACTATTGAAACAAAATTAATACATAATAGAGGATTTTTCCTGCTGGTTTGCTGTGTTGGTATTCTCAACCTTTTTCATATCAAATGTCAGGTATTTGTTCAGTATACTGGAATGCAAGGATGAGGCTGCCCATGACTGCTTGCTGGCTTAGTTTTGGCCCAGGTATCTGGGAGGATCAATATCTTGGCATACTTACAGCCACTTAGTGGCCCACACCAGGTGACAATTTCTCCTCTCACTATAAAACAGCTGAGGAATTTCACCCAGAAAATACATACTGACATTTTACCCATCCACCTACCCCTTGAGGATACTAGGTCACAAAAATGGAAAATGAGTAGTTTGGTTTTCCTTTTACAAAAACAATGTTTGATTATTTAGCCCTCCCACAAAAGCTGTGGACACACCCTACCTTTCTTGGAAATAATTTTTCAGACCTTGGTGCACACAGACCCAGTTTCTGTATTTTCTGGAGTGTCTTGTGGGACTGAAGGCTGCTTTCTTGACCTTGTAGAAAATCCTTTGAATACTGGACAGATAGGAATGTATTTCAGAAAGGCAATCCTTTTTACTATAGCCATTCCAATGGGAAAATCATAGCTCTTAAGGATGGCAGACGTCTCACTGTTGGCATGGGCTCCAGCTTGCCACTGTATCAGGCCTCGTTCCTCTGGGCTCCCTGGAAAGGATAGGGGGGTCATTTACCAAGGCCCAAGCCTTCTTACTGCCTTCCCATAATCTAGTCCTAAGGCAGGCTTCTAAGTCAATTGTGTGTGGCTGGGGATCTAGCCCAAGATCTTGCCCATGCCCAGCCCTCAAATATCTCTTAAAAATACTGTTTGATCCTAAAAAGTTGTTGAATCCATGATTTCTTTATGTGTGTGGAGGGGAGAGGGGGTTCTGGTGGAAGGCAGACAAGTGCTAGACAAGTGCTTTACCACGCTGAGTCACTTTCTGAGTTTCTATTTTGCCAAAGCCTGGGGAAGGCTAAAGTTAACACTGTAACTGTAGTGCGTTAGGTTCTGTGCTAAGTGCTTTAATTTTATTATGTCACATCAAAACATTTCTGGGAAGCTGGGGACCAGTGGCTCACGCCAGTAATCCTAGCTACTCAGGAGGCAGAGATCAGGAAGATTGCGGTTCAAAGCCAGCTGGGGGAAAATTGTTCTCGAGACCCTATCTCGAAAAAAAAATCACAAAAGGAGGTGGGGGCTGGTGGAGTGGCTCATGGTGTAAGCCCTGAGTTCAAGCCCCAGTACTGCAAATAATAATAATAATCACAGCAAAATGGACTGGAGATGTGTCTCAGGTGGTAGAGCACCTGCTTTGTTAAGCACAAAACCCTGAGTTCAAACAGTCCCACC